CAGCGTAGTTTCGCGCCCACAAAATTTTGATGAAGAATTTGCCATATCACTTTATCCCAATCATGCTGCAACAAGACAAAATTCAAATCCAAAGTGTAATAATGCCAGTAATTACCACAATACTGTTCCTTACGGTTGCACTTCTCATTGTAGATCCTATGTAGGTAAAAATTTTTGTGATTGTCTACATGAATGTACCCGGTTCGCACTCCTCAAATCTTAACTTTTAACGAGAAATCAGACTTAGTATGTCTGCACTGACTGTTCTACAGGAATAAAATAATTTCATTTTTTTTGTAGTCATGTGTAAACCTAAGCGGCTCTTTCTTCGTTCTGTATTAGTAGTTTTCTGAATTCTTCTTTCACTAATAGTAGGTAATGGTAATAAATTACTTTGGAACTCCTTAGCTTCAAACGTGGTTATCTTCGTTCTTGAGATAAAGCAGCAATTTGAGTTGTACAAGCTGGTTCAGCAAAATGTCAATTAGGATATAAAATTTCTTTTTATAAAAAAGTTTCCTCCATGAGATCTGCCGCCTCATCGTGGCGCTGGGGTGACACAGGGTGTCGAACTGCGAGTACAGCGGAGTTTTGTGCTCCAGCACGGTCTTCCAAGCTGAGAAAAAGTTCGACGTTTCCGGCTCCCGGATGTCCAACTGTAGGCCATACCAGAAGCTCCACCGTTTGGCTGAGTGAGTCGCTAGGTGGTTCAATCCACATAGGTCAACGATTGCCTGTGGTGAAAGCTTGGCAGGTCCTGGCAAGGCTGCTAAGTTTGGGATTTATTTTATTGGTTGTGCAGCATGTAATAGGAAAAGAAGCCCTGAACACTGGATCACATCTTCAACGTCGGTCATCAAGACCAAAATCAGGTTGCACAGGACGCCATGGATTTCAGGGCAAAGGACAGGTTAAGTAGTAGCCATGGAGATTGTCTCATGCTCTGCGTCCAACGCCAGAACAGTCTCCACCAACTGATCTCTACGCCCTTCTCGGAGTTTTAAGGCGCATCAACTACCACGTAATCGCCTTGCAGGAAACAAAGTGGAGGACGGACGTGAGGCAGTTGAGTGATGGCACGCTCATCATTCGCTGTGAGAAAGTTCTGTCACGGAACGTTGGAGGCGATGAATTTGTCGTACACCCATCTGTTGTCCATCTTGTCGATTCGCATGAGATCTTCTCACTCGCCTGGCCATCCTTTGTCTCCGTCATCTGCATCAGAAAGGCATCATGTTCATCAACTGCTGTTCTCTAACATCAGCAGTTGATGACTCGGAACTTGATGTTTTATGAGGAGTTGGAGGAAGTCATCCGCAAAGAGAAGTCCTTCTACAAATTTGCCGTGGGCGATATTAATGCGAATAGCGGGATGTCGGAAGGAGAGGAGCATAGGGTCGGGAGATTATCAGGACTCCGGAATGAGACTGTCCTGTCTTGTTGGGTATCCGCCCCACACTTTTTCATGGCAGCTCCATTTTCAAAGGAACACCGACGGTGGATTGGGAATTACCCAACGGTACGACTCATGCGAAGATTGACCACATTCTCAACAACCGAAGGTGGTGCTTACTAGACGTCTCAGTGGTACCATCTTTCAACAGTGCTTCAAGTAAAAGTGCCATTCAGCCGAAAGCTGGAAAAAACGATCTGTCACCGTGTTGGAGGAAGAAGAGAAAACGGATATGACGGCGTCAGATTGGAGGAGCGCTTGATCAGTTGTGACGGCCTACCGAGGAGGACCCAGCGAGGTACTACGACCTGCTTCTCAAAGGTCTCAGAGCTTGTGTGGAAAGTGCCTCAATGCCACGAGCAAGAATCGGGATTTTCAAAAGCCACCAAGGATCTGCTAGAGAGGAGAGGAGTACTGAGGCTGGATTCGACTGCACATCTCGAGCGACTTGTAGCGAATACCAGTTGCAAAACAGCTTTGCAAGAAGATCTTCGAAAGTACAGGCCGAAACCTTTGGAGCAGCACAAGCAAGGAGAAGTCTAAAGAAGTACCGCAGGGACCTTCTCGACTATCGTGTTCCGCACAACATTACTAAACGAAGACGGGACTCACACATCTTCCCGACAGATGATGGAATTGATCACGACGAGATTCTGCACCAATCTCTTCCGCTCGTCAACAACCGTGTCAAACCCCGTTACTCCCACTGGAGAAATACCACCACGGATTCTGCCTTTATAAGTACGCGCCGCAATCCAGACCATGAAGGCAGTCACGGCTCCGAGACTGGACCTCTTATGAGCTGGCGGACATTGCCTACCGAGGTAACTGCGGAACATCTAACGTCCTACCCTCAAAAGGAAAGGATCCCCGACCAGCGGAGAACCTCCCAAACAATTCTTCTTCATAAGAAGGGCGATAGGGAGGATCTTCGGAACTATCGTCGAATATGCTGCTGAGCGTGCAATTCTCGCTCGCATATCAAGGACACTGAAGTCCAGTTGAATCTCTTGCGAAATTCAACCTTTAAAACAAGCTGGATTTCGCAAGAGATTCAACTGCGTGGATCACCTCCAGACAGTTACAAGGATTATCGAGATTTGTCGAGAGTATCGTTTGACAGCATCGAGACTCATGCCATACTATCAGCGCTCGTCGACCAAAGGGTGCACTTATTTTACGTGAGGATTAATACGTGAAATTGACCGACTGCTGCGAGAACTGCTCTACAACGGTACAGCTTTTCCATCGCCTCCCCACCATACCAATTTCAAAGGGGATTCGACAAGGCGACGCTGTTTCGCCAAAGTTTGCCGCCGCCTTGCAGTAGGTAATGAAATCACTGGATTAGAATGAGAGGCGAGTTTTAAGTTGATGGGAGATTTTCTCAAACCTTCGTTTGGCGGACAACATTGCTCTCTTTTCGAGGAATATCACTGCAGCGGAGATGTTGAAAGAATTAAACAGAGTAGGGAAGCAGTTAGGACTGCCGAATTAAGCGAAAAGACTCAGTTCATGAAGAGCGCCTTTTGCGAGGATCAATGGAATCAGAAGACTCTCGAATGGCGGAGAGTCTTCCGTATATCTCGGGCGTTCGATTAACATGGAGAACGATCTAAAAGAGTAACTAAACAGGAGGCAAAGAGCGGCTTGGGCCGCCTTCGGGCCTCTAAAGGAAGCCACAGACCAACTGACGGACCCTGAGCTCCGAGCCCACCTGTTCGAATCAGCCATTCTCCCTGCGCTCTGCTACGCAGCAGAGACGTGGCCTGACACTATGACTACGTCGAGGGCACTCCGAACAACACAAAGAGCGCTGGAACGACATCTTCTGAAGTACAACCGACGCACTCAACATCTCGTCGGACTTCGCAGTTCAG